TGGGATTCTGATATAAGAAGAGATTATGAAAAGTCGCTTGATAATCCCAATAATTAAAATAATAAAGTGCTTGAGAGTTGAGAGTGATTTTTACCAAAGGAAGTTCTTTATTTGGACTTATTACCTAATCTCGAGGTTGTATTACTTCCTTAATAATGCATTTGTTGAAACTAGGAGGAACTGTATGATTATCGTTGCTCCAAAAATGAGTTATTTCCATACCTTTCTGGATTAAAATCGTCTTCATCCATAATCTTGATTTTAAGGATAATGTAGGATAATAAGAAGTATCCAAATATTTTTGTCTCAATCTTTCACAGTCATTCATCATAGGTATATCTTCTGATTCTAGATATAACAGTCTCAATTTGAGATTTTGTATGTCATTCAACTTCTCTTTATTATGGAAGAATAAGGTTATGGTGTTTCTTCTATCATTAAAAGATCTTCAATTCCTTTATAAGAGGATGACGAAGAAGCATTAGAGTTGTTCTTTTTGGCAATAGTGCGCCATGAATTAGGAGTATAACTCCTTTCAGATGATGATGTATTACCTCCTCTCCCCCGCCCTGAAGAAGGCGGATTAGTCCAGCTCATTTGTACCCTATAAAAATTCGCGAGTAAGAAAATCGGGTAAATGGTTGTCAGAACCATGAATATAGGTAATTTTAAACTGATACATAGATAATTCAGCTTGCCAACGAGCAAAGATTTGTTTTGTTACAAGATTTTTAACATCTTTTTCAATAACGGATTTAGCAGAGCTATAATCAATTTTTAGCAAAAATTCTTGACTAAGAATATCATCACGGAATTTAGATAGACATTTAATAATTGCTAACATTTCTTTTTTAATTGTAGAATAATTAAATTGGGCTTTATCCTATTTACCTGATGTAAATCTGACAAGTTGTTCTTTATTAGTATTTGGATCAACTTGCTTTAGGATACCACCATATCATATGTTAGAGGCATCAGTTTCTACTACTTTAAACCATTGCACATTAGCTAAATGAATACATGGCAAACATGTAACATTGGTTTTAATTTGTTTAACAGCCTAAGTATGTTTATCTGTCCAATGGTAGGCATTTTTTCTTAATCTACTATATAAAATAACAGTATCTTTAGCTAGGTTATGATAATAATCTGTTACATAGTTAAGAGCTCCAAGAAATCTTTGTAATTGTTTAGTGTCTAGTATGACATCAGGAAATTTTGAGGCAAATTCTATACTTCTATCAATAGAGATAATAGTACCTTTATGAATATTATGGCTTAAGAATCTGATTTGAGTTTGAAATAACTTTATTTTTAGGGCTGATATAGCCAGTCCATTTTTTTAAATAATTTTATGAAATATTTCGAGATGTTTAATGTGTTGATCAAAATTTTGAGAAAAAATTAAAATATCATCTATATATGATAAAATAAAATCAGTATAAGAAATGAATATTCATTCATAATATTTTGGAATTCAGAAAGGGCGTTTTTAAGTCCGAAAGACATAACATTCCATTCAAAATGTCCAAATGGAACAACAAAGGCTGTTTTATATCTATCTTTTTCTTTAATTTGGATTTGCCAATATCCTAATTTAAGATCAAATTTAGAAAAGATTTTTTGCATTATTAATACAAATTCAATAAATCTCTTTTATTTGGAATAGGGTATCTAATCCATTTTAATACTGCATTTAAAGGTTTATAATTAATTACTAAACGAGGTATTCCTCTTTCTCACTCTGCACGATTATTTACATAGAATGCAGTGCAACTCCAAGGAGAATATTATTTCCTTATAAGTCCATTTTCTAATAAGGAATTTATTTCTTTTTTACATAGTTCAAGATATTCTTGATTCATTTGACATGGTCAGTAGGTATATTCTTTTCATCGAAATTGTCAATATATGGTAATGAAACAATATGTTGTTTCCTATTCCAAAATGTATTAGGAGAATTATTGTAGACAATTTTATTAAACTGTTCTTCTGTTTGAATTATTAATTCTTTTTGTTTATTTATTTGTTCTTCTATTTGAACAAATCTTACTTCTTCTCTTAGAAAACTTATTTGTTTTTCTTTTAAAAAGGGTATTTTTTTACTTCATTTAGTAGATGAGTCTGTGGGTCTGTTATAAATTCAAATATAATTTCTTGACCATTATAAGTTGCTTTAATGCCTTGTGAATCAACTTGGGTCATAGGCATTATTTGATGTAAAAAAGGTGTACCAAGAATTACATGTTGAGATAAATTTTTGACTAATACACAAGGAATAGGAATACATGTTCCTTGTACACAAATGTGCTGTAGGTAATTTATTTCCATTAGCACTGCTAAGGGTTTGAGTGGTAGTTTCAAAATATTTTGAAGGTACTACCCCTTCATTAATACAATTAAGATCGGCTCCACTGCCTACTAGAGCTATAAGATCTGATATAAATACTTGCTCGGCTATCGCTAAAGTAACTTTAATATACAATTTTTGAGATGTTACTTGTAAAATTTATAAAAATTCAGAATTTGTATTTTCATTTTCTTTATCAAAGAATTTGGGTGTTTGACATGGGGAAGAATTTACGGAATTATTCCTTTCTTCTATACCTTTTTCAATTTTAGAGATAATATATTTTTTTCAGAAGTTTAACTTCTTGTTTTAATATATGAATTTCTTTATTCGGATCTGATAAAGATAGTTCTTTAGATGTAGAAGTTTTTTCTTGTTTTCTTTTTATGACTTCTGACATTCTATAAACATTTTTGATATTTGGTTTTTCTTTTATTTCTTTAGATTTTTCTAATAGTATTTCTAGTATTTCTTTTTTTAAATCTGAAGATATATCTTCAAAAATAATTTTTGATATTATTTCTTGGTTGATAACGTTTACAGATAAACCATTCATCTCTACTATAACTTTCCAATAGTCTGTATTATTATTACAGTTATTAACTGTACAATTACATTCTTGTTCAGAAGAATTCGAAGATGAGGAGTCGTCTTCTTCTTCTTCAATTTCACTATTTATCATTATTTTATATAAAGTCTTTTTAAGACCATCTTCTATCTCATTAATTTTCTTTTTAGATAACATTTTCTGGCATAATATCCAAATTTACCACATTTGTAACATTTAATGTTACTTTTATCTTTTTTCTTCTTTTTATCCCTTTTTCTTCTTTATTATTCTCTTTTTAAAAAATTCTTTTTCCTTTTGAAGGGTCTATTTTATGATGTTTGACTTATCCTTTTTTTCTTTTTCGGTCTTATATGGCTGATCATAAGCAAACTGCTCGCAGAATTCGCCAAATTCTTCTCTTTTTCGGCCTTATGTAATGATCTAAAATTAAAAAAGCTAGTCCTTTTATGCATGCATTTATAAGATGCCCATAAGAAAATGTATCGTAAGGTATATAACCTCCATGTTCACTTCTCAATTTATTTCTTACCCTTTCAGCAAATAAAGTTGGGAGGTCATCAATAAATTTTGCTTTCCAATGGGTGCTATTAGCATCCCCAAGAGTCATAACTCTACTTAAATATGTATCTTTATACCATCGGAAATGAGTTAATGATGGACATCTAAAATTTTGTAATAACGTTCTTATTCTATCTCCTTCATCAATATATACTCCAGTAAAATGATAAGCAATTGCTAACATTAAGGTATACACAACATCTTCTATCTGTATACCATTTTCAATTTTAATTGCATTTAATATTTCACCTCTGGCGTCTGGTAAAAGATAGTTATCCCACCAACCCTTTAAGGTACCAGTAAAACCACAAGTAATATAAGACGCAATTAATTTATTACCATTTTGTCTACATACTGTAGAATACATTAACATTCTATGCATTGTAGCATAAATTTAGGTATCAGATAATCCATCAATATTCCATTCGTAGATATTTCTACCATTATATTCAGCTTGTAAATAAGTATCATTTTCTTCAAATAAAACATCAGTTGAGTTGATCTTTTATAATATTATCTTTCTATTCTTTTAGGACCATTTTTAATTTTATTTATTGTGGAAAATTGTTCTTCTACTGCTAGAAGTTTGTCTGATTGAATTATTTCTTCATCTGAAGAACTACTCTCAGTAGGAATAACTGAAGAAGTAGATGTTTCACTCTGAATAGTATGGAGTTTTGCATTACCTAGTCTTTTTGTTAAAAGTTCAATTACTTCAGAAGATATTTGATCTCCATTACTAAAGCCAGACATTTTATGTAAGGATAAAAATGGTCCATAAAGAATAGGAAGTTGGTAAAAACAATAAAAAAGAAATATCCTCAAGCAACCGATGCAGAAATTCAACAAAAATATTTAGAGCATATGACGAAGCAATTCTTTCAGGTCTTTGATACAAGTAAAGTTCAGTCCACTAAAAGTACAGGATCTGTAGATGGTGATACTATTCTACCAGATGCTCAAGGAGAAGAAAAAGATGCAGAAACCATGTGGGAAATAGCTATGGGTGTCATTCCAGACACTAAAGGCAAAGGAATCTCATAAAAACTCCTTTTCATAAAAAGGAAGGAATCTACTTTATACTTTATAAAAGTATGTGGCTACTTTATAAAAAGAATTTGGCGCATTATGAAGGAATCTCCTTTATTTCCACTTTAATAAAAGTGAAGGTTACGTGTACTACTGTGTATAACTTTATAAAAATAAAGTTAGGAATAAAGAATATGTAAGCAGTAAGGCGGTGTGCTTCTAAGGTCTATATATATATATATATATAGAGAGAGAGAGAGAGAGAGTTGATCTTATGTCAACTTAAGTGGATGTCCACCAAAACTTTTTAGCCACTCATTTATATATTATAAAAACCTCTTCATATCTTTCATGGATCACTAAGGAACATCAATGGCTAAAAAGTTTGATGGACAACTTTTTGCTATCCACTTAAGTTGACACAAGTTTTGCTATATATATATATATATAAGCTTCTCTCATAACTAATTCACCTTCTTAATGAAGAATTACCTGAAAGTTCATGAAGGCTACTGACAGATTGTTTATGCAATTCAATTTCTCTTTCTTCGGAGTCCAATGCTGACACATTATTTGCTATGTAGTGGCATGCTAAAAATAGTGCCTACAAAATGAACAAATAAAACAGGACGCATAACTCAAAATGTAACAACTAATAAGTACTATAAAAGTACAAAAAACAAAAAAAGGCACGTGGAAGAAAAAATTTAACACACCTGAAGATATCTCTTGGGATGGATGTTCATTGCTAGTGGCATATAAATAGCTGAATCAAATGGCGCATTTACATTTGGTACAAGACAATGAGCAGCATCCGCATTTAGATGTTCTAGAATGCAACTTTGAAGGCAATTACGAGCATTCTAGTCACTTAAGAAAAAATGAATAATCAGAGCTCTAATAACAAAATATAAATAAGGAGGTCGTACATCTTTTCCATGTTGAAAGAGAATACCTCCTTCAAAATTTCCACATTTTTTTCAGCTGTAGCAGGTTTTAATATGCCCCTAGAAGATTTAACAAAATAATCAGAAAAATTAAAACTAAAAGCATAAATAAATCATGCAATACCCATGCAGGCATTTTAAGGGCTAACATTAGAACAATAAACTTAGAAGAGTAAAATATATATTTTCCACTGTCCATAGATCTTACTAATAACTTGCACAATGCCAGGTGACTGAGACAGTTCTAACACATGACAAGTTGTAGAATTTCACCAACATGTTTAAATTTGCACTTTCTAAAAATTGACGTCTAAAAATTGAACAAAAAAAAAGGAAATTTACATAAGAAAAAAAGTACTGGCCTTCTCAAAACTATAGGTCCATCTGAACAGCAAGACGGATCATGAACAGTATTTTCCGAGACTCTTGCTTGCACCGCACTTTCTG